ATTTGGAATGCATAATAAAGGTTTTTCATATGATGCCAATGTCATGACTTTGTGACCCTGATTGACCTATATGTAAAAAACAACATTGAAGAACTTTCATCATAACTTTTGAACCATGAGAGATAGAGACTTCATATTTGGTATGCTCACTTCACTAATTAAGTTCTTTCAAATGACACAAAGGTCGATCTTGTATTCTTTATCAAATCCATTTGAAATCCATCAGTTTCACATCTGTATAACACACGCAAAACCTTGTCACCGAGCGCTAGAATGCACAGTAAGTACTATATGCATTTTCATTTATTTATGAACACCAAAATGTACATCGTTTGACACAATTTAATAAAAAAAAATAACCCTGTTGAATGTACGTAAATATTAGACAAATGTGCATTTAAAATTGATTTGTCATTTTTTTCCTCGCAATGTACGTTTGCGTTATTAGATTATCGAAATCACAAACGCCTCTTACGTTTATAAAGCACACCAGTTTTGAAGGGCGCTAAATTCACATTAAAGATTGCCGAAATAAAGAATTATGAAGAGAAAAAATTAAAGAATGTAAATTTAAGCATTGAATTCATATTTTGGGATGTCTTTGGACCTATTATACACCGGACGTGCCAACAAATCATCATACCGCGCTGTATTCAATTTGTCGGCACGGCCAGGTGTGTTATAGGACCGAAGACATCCCAAACTATGATTTCAATGATGAATTGTTTCTAATTGGGTGTATATATAATCTACTTTTTTTTTACACAACTTGACTATATAAATTCTGGTAATTAGAAACAATTTTAGAACATTCTGTTGTTTCTTACACTTGAAGCGTGATACCTTCATCACCTCCGTACGGAGTGTCTATGTCTCAGTTGATTCGATACGCAAGAGCATGCTCTACGACAGATCAATTTTTAAGACGAGGTAAATTTAATGACAAGCAAGTTGATGAAACAAGACTATCAGCAGTATCATTCAAAGTCATCATTTCGTAAGTTCAATGGTCCATTCAACGACCTTGTCACAAAATACAAGTAATCATTGAGTCAAACGCTTACTGATGTTGTTCATACTAAATGTTAGCCCATTATTTATACATTAATTGACGATGACTTTTTCCCTCTATTTCCCATCCATGGCAAGGAGCACACGGCTGGTGTGACCGATCAGCAGGGAATGCTCACTCCTCCATGGCACCTGATTCCACCTCTGACGTTTTGGAGGTCCGTGTTTGTTCTGTTCCTATTTAGTATTGTTTTATGGGCTTTGATATTGAATACTGTTCTTTATCTTTATATCCTTCTTGAGGCATAAATACTATACACATGGGTATAAAATTAAAGAATTTATCCATAACAAGCTTTCATTCTTTTCACATGAATACACTGGCAAATAGTGTTCTTGTCAAATTCCTCTTATTTACATATTATTAAAATTATTTATTCTTTCATTAAAAATTTTTTGTAATTTATGATTAAAAACTTGTGAAAAATAATGAGAATTTTTTTAAGTTCCACAAATCTGATTTTCAACTTTTAAATAAAAACGTGTCATATTAAATATGGAAAATAATTTTTTTGCAATGTATCAAAAAAGGTAAATTTCTAATTTCATCTAAAAACATTATTTTCGAAGAGCCAGGGTTTACTCATGCTCGTTAGAAAATATTCTATTGTTACAATTACCACGATGCAAAAAAGAGAATACATTCCCTTAAATTGTCTATTGAATTTGGATACAGCAGATCAAATTTTATAATTTTTTTAGAGCATGCTGGATGTTAATTAACAAATCGTATTGTATCGGTGGTGTTTCAAACTTCAGGATGATATTATTTTTTTTTTCTTTTACTAATCTGCAGAAGTTGATCTCAACTGTTCATTTGCATTTTGTGCCAATGTTTTGATATTTGACAACAATGAAAACTCATTTTTGAAAATTGGACACCTGCGGCGTATCAGAACTGGAATCCTAACGACGAGGGCGAGACAGCAGTTGACCACTACACGTACTATACAGGAGAAGACGACGGACTAAAACTTCCCTTTATTTGTTAGGATTCTCCGTTTTACTTGGAGCCAGAAGAGTGTTTTGTTACATAATGATTCATTCTCTCTAAATTAAAATAAACATTTGCTACCATTATTTTTTTATCATATAATTTCATTAAGCATTGTGTAAAAAGTTCTAAATCATTTAATGGAGTCTTCTTAAGTTTACGTTGGATCGTGAATTCGTCTCCACGGAAGAGATCTAGATTTATCCTTGGATCGTATATTCGTCTCCTCGGAAGAAATCTAGATTCATCATCATGTTTTAAATATCTATGAATAGCATATACACAAAGACACAAAGACAGACTGTGCATTATATTCTGGCATTTTGTTATCTTCACAAGGAAACTTACACTTAGATCTCTTCTCACCATACGTACAAATATTTTAGCACAGAGTGTTTTTTTTAAAATAATTTCTATCCGTAATCCAAAAATAAGGGACAAATATATTTTACTGTGACGGTCGGTCTACCTGTCTGTTTGTTTGTGATTTTTTTTTTCATGATTTATCTGTAAGTGTGGAAATCAATTAGCCTTGACAACAGCCTTCAATTCGTTGAGCTATGGATTTTTGTATTTCACAGGTGTATATATTATAAAAGGACCTTTCCTTTTCAAGTTTCTTTATTTTGACTTTCATATGAAATTTAAGCCTTGGTCATATGAACTATGGCTTTAATATTTTAATAGTGTATTCCACGTGTATAATCTTTTCCTAGGGTAAAAGTATTTTTGACTTATATCTTTATGTTTGACTCACTTTTAAAGAAATTTTCAAAATTTTAATGTTAGCATAGCCATTACACAGTTAAATCAAGTGATATCATACTCCTCACGCTTATATTTTGATAAGACCTTCTCTTGAGTACAAGCAGTAATGACCTTTAACCTTGAACTTATGGATTTGACCTACTTTTCAAAAACGTAAACTTTGGTCGTATTTACTGAGTATTTTGTGCTAGGGGTTAACAATTTCTCCGGTTCATTTCCTGTGGTAAGAGTTTTCCCCGAATACCAATATTTTCTTTTTATTTTTTCCTTTAATTTGGACATCAGACTTTGACATTCTTCTGAAAAAAATTGGTAATTGCTTTTGAATGGTTAATTCCGTGACTTTTATATTTCACCTGTGTATTCCTTATGAAATTCTTTTGGTTATCATATATATTGACTCCTTGACCTTGTCCAGTTTGACCTACTTTTGAAAATCTCTAATTTGGTCTTCAGTTTGGAACAATTGCTGCTTTTATGGGTTTTTTTTATTTTTGAAGGTAGACTCATTGTGAGGAACTTTTCTTTTGGTACCAAAACTAATTTTATATTGACCTTGGTGTTTGACCTGCAAACGACAACATTAGTCATAAGCTTCTTTGCTTCACAAACTTATCTTGAATTTTCATCATTACCTCCTTTAACTTTTCCTATTGATTAAAAAACACATTTCAAGTTGTAGTCTATCAAATTTTGGATACATATAATCCATAGTCTTCACATTGCATAATAGAGAATGACTTGTCACACATATTGAATCATTTTTTTTTAGAGATATAGTCTCATAATTGCAAATGTATTTGCAAATATACTGATTGATGTTAGCTTAGTTTTATTTGCAACGGCAGTTGCAGATATAAGATAACATCTTTCAAAAAATAATGAATCAGTGTTTATTTTTTCTAACTTCTTGTCTTATTTTGCAAATTTGATTTTTTTCTAACTTACTTGAATTATCTGTAACCTAAATAACAATAAATCTTAATTATCTCAAATTTTGCTTTTAACGTTTGTGACGTCAGAATATAATGCATATTACACATGTAACCTTTTGACCCCCGATCTGCGTTAGGGTGTTTTGAAATAAAAAAAAAACAATAAAAAATTACATTATCGATATTAGTCTGCTATAACGTGCATTCAAGAGCAGAAAGAGCTATTTGTAAAATGATTATCTGTAGCAGTAGAAGGTATTGATCTTCAGATAATGTGATTTTCTTTTTACTTTAAGCCCATTTTCTGGTATCATTGAGAATCTGGTACCTTTGCAATTCTTGCCGTACCAAAAATTCAAGCTTTCTGAATATATTTTTGGCATGATTCGATTTGTTGAAAGAAATATTCAGTACGCCTCACTTCGACATTTTAGCTTATTTTCTCCATGATATTAAAAATAACAATAATTTCAATTTAAGCGGTTTCAAGTAGATTAACTGATAATTAAATCCTCATCTATTAAAAATAAAAAATATGTTTTAGAGAAGTATAATCTTAGATGTATTGTACCACAAAACATGACCATCAAATATACCTATGATTTTTAAAAATATCTTAACATCTTTATTTTTGAAACTTGTCTTATCTGACATGCACGGGGAACAAATTAAAAATATATGTGTTGGAATACACAAGGTGTAGTATTGTAGCGTGTAGAGATCATTGAGATAAGTATAAATGACAAATGAAATTAAATGGCTGAAATCACAGTAAAGAGTATTGCATGTGTCGGATTAAACAAGTTCCATTGTAATAGGTTTAACAATAAATCAATCAAAGTCCTAATTCTCCGCCCAGTTATCTCCATTTATCAGTGTTTGGAAAAAAGAACGAAAGTTTTCTAATTTCAAATTTATTACAACACATATAAAATACATCTTTTACTGAATACATCCAGTATCGCTTTACAGAGCAGTTCAACCCCCCTTCTTTTACTATTTGTTACTTGATGTTAAATATTGAGAAAAAAAGAACTCAGCGATAAAAATTAATTTAAAATCGTCTCTTAATGGTTTCCATAATCCATGGATGATCTTTCGTCTGTTAAAAAAATGAAAACTTCACAGATACATGTATAATAGCATATTTATGTATTAAAAAAACAACTTTTATAACTGAAATTTTCACAGTAATACGAAAAACTGTTTTACTAAGATTTAATGAGGTTTACCTAGTGACGTCTGATCATCATGCTGGTCTCCTTTACTGATGTCCCGTACTCCACTGTGGGATACCACGGGTTGGACCAGGACCCCGAGGACCATGGACCGTTAAGGAAGGCTCGGCGGCAGCTGTTAAACCACCAGCCTCCTCTCCATGTAGCAGCACAGTTACCACTAGGCCACCCGTCGTTATCACTGTCTGGGGTGGAGAAGTACATCCCAGTCAGATCAGCCCAGGAACGACCAGTGTCTATCATAGAGTCACCTGTAAAATCAAACAAAAAGAATCACAGAGATAATGGATTTGTATTGTTTTTATTTAATTGTTAATTATGATACTGAAATACAGTTAATTCTGAAATCCCAGTTAGATTGCCATGTGTCGAAAAAAGGCCACTGATTTTAGGTTTTTCCTAAATATAAAATTCTCTTTCTAATAGTTCACTCCATTTATCCGCCACCCTGTTTTCAAAACAAACGTCCATTTTTAAGTTCAAATTTATTACAACACATATACCTGAATACATTTGTAAAATATGCAGAGCAGTCAAAGATGCAATTAACAGCTGATTAAGTAAACAATTAATAATTTCAACATTAACTGTTAAATGATTTTGTTTTCTGTTTATAAAAATTAATTTAAAAGCGTCGTTGTAAAGTACGCCGATAACGATATTATTTTGATTATCTCAGTTTAAAGAGAGAAAACTTGCTTTAAAGATACATTATAAATAGACATATTTATGTTTACAAAAAAACAACTGTTTATAAACAATGAAATTTTCACAGTAATCATGTTTACATAATATAGGTTTACCACACGTCTGATCATCACTTCAAATCATGTGGGATGCCAATATTTACAGGCATGTGTGTCTTTATTTCATAACTAAATATTTTGTTTTAGCAAATTTACATAAAAAATGTATTTGAAGCATCAGTTAAATTAGAAGCCATGTTTAAATATACATATTGTGGGGTGGAGAAGTACATGTAAAAATGTGAAACGCTAAATGGTGTTTTAAAGAATGGTTCCTGTAAATTTCCTAAAAAAAAAATTCAATTCATCGCCAAATTCGTTATATTTATATGATTTTTAAATTATTGGTTAATTATGATACTGAAATACTTCTAAGATAGACCGCTTTAGGTGCTGTGAAGGGCAATAATATTTATTTAGTTCAGTCCTAGAGAATCCCCGGTGTCTATCATACTGGCACCCGAAGAATTAGAGAAAATATAGAACAAAGATGATAAGTATTAATCATTAATTTTCATCCCATTAATCTTAATACTGAAGTACGTCTGAGATACACAGTTTAAAGAGAGATAAAAAATACAAGTCAACAAAACACTGCGCAATTCACATAGCATCCTTTGTAGTGCAACAATAAACCAGAGGCGTGTGTTACACTTTTAAAGCATGGTAATATTGTGGGGGAGGGACAAAGGTCACGGCAAATTGCAGAAAATATCACAAAATGAAATTTTAATATTTGTCCGAGACCGTGGAATACTAAGTAAATCATTAATAACGAGATAAGATGGTAGATTTCCTATTAAATAAATGGAAATGTGAAACGGGTTCAGGTCTTTAAAATTTAGCATTTAAGCTTTTTTATATGAATATTTATCCGATCAAATTATTTTATCAATAAATTTTCGTAAACCTGTCGACATTTAAGATTAATGAGGCACTGTAAACTTCCTATTCCGTACTAGTAAAAAATGTGAATCATTGAAAATCAGACTATCATGCTCTATAAATTTTTTTTCGTATTAGTTAAAATATGAGTTATCAAAAATTATCTGGAAACCAAAGCTAAATAACAATGTTGAATACATGTAATTATTGGATTTTTTGTTTTAAAAAAATTAAAATAATTTCAATTGTACATAAAATGTATAATTAGAAATTTTATCTACTTGACAATAACAAATCCAATATCTTCTGAATTTGTGAACTGTACCTGCAAATGCTATTTTGAAATATTAGACATGTTTAATTAGCATGGAATCAAAAACGTATGCAGAATATCAGAAAAAAACACATCTTTCTCTTTTTTCAAGAACATTATTATGTGTCAATACAGAAAAGAATAATCATTAAGATATACGTAATACGTAATATACGTAATTTGAACATAATTTTAAGAACTTACATGTTACATAACTACATTTACCTAAGGTCCCAGTGGCAGGTCCTGCAAGAGAGAGTTGATATTTCCCTGCCTCGTTGGAGACAAAGAATTTGTCGTACATTTCATACAGTGTTGTACCATTCTGGATAGTGATGGACACATAAAGGGATAAGGTGTTGTCTTTTGTTAATTTATGGATTGCCTCATTTCCTGTATTAAGATATATTTGAAACCATTTGAAAAGTTCCTTGAATACAATTAATTCTTTTAAAATTATGAATCTACGTGAAAATTCAAATTTCCATAGCTGTAGACAATATTGCTACATTTGGTCTCATTAGAATATGCCGCTTGATGATAGTCTTCTTTTCTATTTTTAAAAACATTATTTGAGATAACAATTAAACACAATATCTGAATATCGTAGAACACACATTATCTAATCTTAAATTAAGATCCTTATTACGCTTGATAATTTTTTACCTACCATAAGATTTTTCTTTTATCTTCAAACTTTGAAGTAATAAAAAGTTCTTATTTGAAAGCGATTTACACTTACCAATCCAAAAATTCTGTTCTGGTGAACCAAAACCATTCTTATAATCCGCCCAGTTCCTGTCAAAACTCACGGATCCGTCTACGCGTTTCTGAATGGCCTTTGAAAATTAAAATGCATTACAATTCAATTTATTGCTTCGAACATTCATAGGATCCATAGGTTATGATATAAACTACAATACAATCCTACAATCCTTAGAACAACAAAAACAATGTGTGTTATATTTAGTACTTTTAATTCTAAATTAAACAACCTACCGTCCATCCCCCGCCCATTGTGGTCATATCGCAATAGACACTGATTGGAATGGTTAATGTACTGTAGGGGTATATATCATACACCCCTGTACTGGTTTGTCCTTCTTCACAAAGTTCGTTACAATCTTTAGGCATGGCAGAAAAAACACAATCTAAAAAAATACCAGGATCATAATATGCATATGTACAAGAAGTGAGAGGATACATAATGCCTGCATTATATAAAAATGTTAATTGTGGAAACAAAATTGTTAACAACATGTGCAATGTGTATTACGTTAAACTGTTCCTCGTTATCTAAAATCATTCTTGTTTTTTAATTGATGCAAATCTTCCATTTATGACATGACTAAAAGTATTTAAAATTAAACACAATTATTTTCAATACTCTGTTAACTGAAACAAATGTTAAAGAGGAATTGATTGTAAATAAGATGAAAAACAATTTTGAAACTGAAATAGATTTGGAAAAATGTAGTAAAATCATGATATCGTTTTGATGTATGATATAATGTCTGACCGATCGATAGGGGATGTTTACTCCTCCACGACACAGGTCATCTGTTTTCATGATTCACATCTCAGCTTTCATAACAGCTGTTTTTAAGATAGCAATTTCGAGATACGAGCTTAAACGAACTTTTTTCGTTTATTTAGTTAATAACAAGCTATAATTTTCAAATGGTTTGGACTTATCATTGTCGCAAAGCTTGAATGAATATGACTAAATACTCACGGTGTAGAAAATTTATCCCAAGTTTTCCATTATATGCTTAGAGATAATAAGAAAATAGGAAATAGAATATAGAGAAAATCACAAAGTATTATTCAATCAATCTCAAATTTAAAAAAAAAACTGATTCAAAATAAAAAAATATCAAAGAAAAAAAAATAGCAAAACGATGAGAATTTCATTAAAATCAATTATGTTGAAAAATGTTTATACTACATAAAAAGAAGTGTCAAAAGAAAAAAATCGTGTCTCTTCGAGAGGGGCCTAAAAGAAAGAAGCAAACAGAAAAAAATAAATAACAAATGTACATACCGTTATGAGAGTAGTATCTCCAACCGGCCTCATCAGACAGCTCAGACGTGAATAGTTTCTTGTGGGTACGACATTTCGTCATTTGACTGTTGAATCCAAAGAAAACGCACTCCCTTTGACACATCGCAGCGCACTCGGTCAATGACTGAGCGTTATATTCCCCTGAAAGGTCATCATTTGATTTCTTATCATTAAATACAAGTTCTATGGTATATTTCTGAGAAATAATGGTCGCTTCAGATAAAGCCAAGAACCCGACAATTAAGGAGATAACACACTGACTGCTCATTTTTTTCTTTTTTAAGAAAAGACTGCTGCGTTCTTGTAAATCTGTGAAATTCTGCAAAATGGACCTTCAACAGCCAAATATATATGTCGTACCTTAATCAATGCCTGAAAACGATTGGATAACTGTTACATACTCTATATTTTACAGTTGTTTAAGAATCGATTTTATTGAAGTTAGTATGAATTGTCATAAATGTTTATTTTGAAATTGTTATTTAAACTATAACAATGAAAAGTTCGCTGTTTTTTCACTTAGTTAATGCCTGTTATGTGTGATGTTACAAAGTGTTTTATTTTTAATTGTTTGCTTTCTTTTAAATATGGAACTATAATTTAAATATACATATATTTTCCTGAGTGGAAAAAATCAGCTATTTCGAAATAAAAATAAAAAAAATTGTCTAATGACATTATTATGATTCTCAGAAATTATTAAGATTTTTTTAAGTTTGACACATTAGCTCAAAATGTTAATGTCACACAATACATCATCATTGCATTATTTATTTTTAAATTAATTTCTTCGGACTACAACGAACACATCTTCGAGGAACGTATACAGCACCTAGTACATCTTAGGAAGGCGAAGACAGCAGCACATCTTAGAAGGATGTAGACAGCAACGTGCACATCTGAGAAGCACGTAGATAGCACAGAGCACATCGTAGAAGGATGAGGACAGCATCAAGCACATTTGAGAAAAACTTAAACAGCATTGAGAACATCTTATAGAAATGTAGACAGCGGTGAGCACACCTTAGAAGGGCATAGACTGCACCAAGCATATTTTAGAGGGACGTAGATAGCACCGAGCATCTTAGAAGAAGGTAGACATCACAGAGCACATCTTAGAGGAATGAAGGTAGCACCAGGCACATCTTAGAAGAAGCTAGACAGCACGTACCATATCTAAGAGGAATGTAGACAGCACCAAGCACATCTTATACGAATGTATACAGCACAGAGCACATTTAAGAGGAATGTAAACAGCACCGAGCACATCAAGGAAGGATGTAAACAGCACCAAGCACATCTTAGAAGGACGTAGACAACAACGAGCACATCTTAGACGGAGCTGCATTGTTTTAGTGTTTAGGCAAGGCAACGGTTAGCACAAGAACAGTTAGAAAAACGGCTGCATTTGACCAGAAACTATGAAAATCCACTTGGGAACTATCATAATCCATCAGCAAAGAGCATAGATCAATCTTACTTATCAATATACATAAATTATATCTAAAGTAGCTGAAATAACATTAAAATAAGTAATAAATAACTTGTAAGGTACATTTAATTGCCTTGTTACACAAGTACATTGTAACGATATGACCTTATTGTTAAACATGTACCACTGGATGAAAAATACAGTTTCCGCATGGCTGAAACTCTACTGAAACCCTGCGGAAACTTAAGCTTAATTATAGTTTCTGCAAAGTTTCAGTGCGGAAACTTCAAGTTTCATCAAGCTACTGCAGTGCGGAAACCAAACGAGTTAACGAATCCAAATAATTTCCGCAAATGAAACTTGCTGAAACTTGAGGTATACGCAAGGTTTCAGCATGCGTATACGGCTGAAATACATATGGTGTACCAATGGTTTCCGAAACTGAAACTTGTTGAAACTTGAGGTATACACAAGGTTTCAGTATGCGTTTACAATATTGAAATTGGGTGTACTATACTATAGGTTTCTACAACGGAAACTGTAGCATTGACTGCACAATTTATCCCAGGTATTCAACCAAAACTCATTTTCCCCCTGAATTTTCATATTGAAAAAAAAAAACAACAACACACTCACACTAGTTATCAAAAAAATATTTAATGTTATTATCAACATTTACATACATTGGCTTGACCATTTATTTTCTCTTGCATCATAAATATTTTTACTGCATTCAATCAATTAAACCTAAAATTAGTATATGCAAGTCTAACATCATCAAGGAAATGTAAAAGTACTTTGTATAATAAATGCACAAGTTCACATCATTAGTTAAGAAATAGGGTATCACTTTTTGAGTGTTATTGGGATGTAAAACGGGTTGGTCACGTGATCAAATTCCATAAAATCCGAAGGGCTTTATGGAAGATTTGATCATGTGCCAACCCGTTTTACATCCCAATAACACTCAAAAAAAGATACCTTATTACTTATATTTACACTTGCGACTTATTAATACTTTAAATTTGCCTGATTGTGACTTTTAACGTGTGAAATGCATTATTTTCAAACCCAACGGCATGTATGTAATCAACTGAACGCGCTTCGACCCTTTATGACGTCACTGAGAAATTACGTCGAACGTTCATCCATACGAACATCTATGACCTCTTGACCCCGTACCTGTATTTATACAGTTATAAAAACGCTTGCTTTCAGTAGTGTTATATAAAGGAAAACGTTTGCAAATGTAAATATTAGCCAATAAGCACTAAGGTGTATTCCTTTGTTAAATATACAGTTTGTAGTCCATCATCAACCAACAGAAAAGTCCTTGAATGGTCCTCATTTTTTACGACCACCTTGCACTTATCATGCTTATGCTAGTGATGGCTGTATGTTTTCGGAACTGTGCAACACATCACTGTAGTCTGCATGTATGACCTGTTCCAGTTTCAGTTGACTTTAAAAATATAAATGCTTGAGTACAGAGAGACTTGTTTTCATCCTTGGAGAAATGATATCATGTTCAGATTGGATTGGTATGCTCATCAGTTACTTCAACCTATTGAAAATATATATAAATAAAGTTTAACAAAATCCCAATCTAAATAAAACAACATGTTAGATCCTCTCGCATTCTCACTACACAACATTTAACAACATCCCATAGAGGGTCACGTCAGATGTCAAATACGGAACAACTCTAGACTTATTCGTTCCAGTATATCAAATACAATAATTTTGCAGTCGACTTTTTGATTAGTTAATAGTATTTGACCTCTGACGTGACACTCTACATGGTGTAGTTAGATTTAGGCAGTATGTGCGCATATCTAACATTTAATTTTAATTAGACTGACGAAGTCCCTAATACTGTTCTAGTACAAGCCTTTGTTTGATTAATTTCACATTTTCAGCATTTTTTGATCAGAATGATTTAAATTAAAATCTAAAAAAAAAAATTATCAAGTGTAAAATCTCATTAGTTTATTAAAGTTGCCTCTTTAAACACTTGACTAGGGATAATGAAATAAACAAAAAAATGAATTTATTTAAATGTACCTGAATATGTATGTATGGATTTGTTTCTGATTTTCAGAGTAAATTAAGGATTTTTTTAATTTCACTTGTTCATCAAAATGATTTTTTGTACCCCCAGCCTAGACCCTTAGGCCATGATTCATGATATTTGAATAACAACTAGAGGCCCACAGACCTTATAGGTCACCTGAGTATCATTTGACAACTTTCACTCAATTGAATTTGCTTCGTGTTTTAAACAAAAAGCCATGAAATTCCCAATTTCGAAGGACGCACCATTGTTTATCATAATTATACACTTAGCATGCTTACTTTGGTTACTCAATACCATTAAAAACAATTAGAAACTGCACCACATCTAATATTTGAAGCCCAAGGTATAACAATAAAGTAGGCCAGAGTAATAAAGATAAAATGCAATTCCATTTTATACCACCAGTTGTGTACCCCACCCTATAGGAACCACTAACTCTGGGGCCACATATT